TAATGAGAATTCATTCAGGAAGACTAAAATACACAAGTCTTGATCTCAGTGGTCATACAAGTACTATGACTAATACTAAATAACTCCAAACTCATGAAGCTATGCAACAATATTTTCATTCTAACTCCTCCTATCAGAAAATGCTGACTGCAAGTTGACTGAGATAAAACAATAAAACCTGACCTAAAGTAGACTATTTAATTTTTTAAATAATTTTTTTTAAATGACGTATCCCAGACCAAAAGCAATTTTCCTTCAGCTATCCACTTTTTTTTTTAGTCAGTATTGCCCACACAAATTATATCAGCCATATGCTATCGGAAGCAATCACACTTATTGGTGTGATTTATGGAGGATTTCAGTGCACAAACCAGAGTGAATTTTAAATCTGAATATAGCTTATTATTTCATAAGTAATATAGGCTTTTCAGTTGTTTGCTTTTTGTAATCAAACCATAATTTAATAATGCATTTTATTGCTGTTTTCATTGTGTAGGCCCTATATAAAAATAACCAGTATCAAGTCAAAAGCAAAGAAAAAAATGGCAGGGTAAAAATTCTTATTACAATCTTACTTGTAACATTACATATATTTTGCAAAACAAAACTGTCTTTTTGGCAATGTTTATCTGTGATATTATCCTTTGGCAGACCCATCGAAGTATTCAGGATATTTTTCACTGTTCATTCATTCATTAAATACAACTTTTTACTGAAAGGGTCTTGACATAAATTTCCCAGAAACATAAACATAGTTGAATATGAACAAGGGCAGCTTATCACCTTTATTACACACTGAATACTCACTGTCTAAGCCAGCCTTTGGATCAAAATCTATTACTAGTTTAGCTGTTTCCTTTTTACTTTGAGTTTAGCTTTTCTTTTTGTGGTTTGCTTTCAAACATTAGATAACATACTTAAAAATGCGAAGTGGCAGGTGTAGTAAAATGTTCTAATACTTGAAAATGACAGTAAGACCGAAGGTTGCATTTTAACCCTTGTGATTTTAACCCTTGTGATTTGGCCTTTCATCATCAGTGGGCAGAAGTAGCACTCTCTTATATAGCACAGAGAACAGAAGCATGTCATTGAACGATATTATAAAGACATGAGCAAGGTTGATCAGTTGTCCCATGGCTGTGTGACATACTGTATGCTGATTAGCTGCCACTCCCATTCATGAATAGGCTAGTAATGCTGACTAGGAAAGAAAGACTCATGAAAACAAGATAGGTTTTTGGATAGTGTAGAAATCTTTTCAAGTTATTCTCTATGCAAGAAAAACTGCTATCACTCAAGTCCATTAGTAACACAAATGATAAAAAATGTATTTTAAATCAGGAGGGGATGATAGAAATATAACAAGCTAAGCAAAGAAATATATAATTCAGTAACAAAGGTTGGAATGAACACTGCATGTAGGAAAGTAGTACTTAATACATGATTCATATCATAAGGACAATTAAATATTGAAACAGGTTGCCCCGATATGTGAAATATCTGGCCTTGGAGATGTTTAAGATGCAGCTAGACAAAGCACTAAGGAAACTAGTCTGAATTCAGTTTTGACCCTGCTTTGACCAAGAGGTTGGACAAAAGGCTTTCCAAGGTCCTTTCCAATCTGTACAATATTGTAATACTATAAATCTGTGTACCCGAAGGGGTTCCAAAACAGTGTCAGCTCCAAACAGGGATAGGCTGATGCATTCAAAAAGTAAGCAAAATTCTTGAACAGAAAAGGAATAGACAAATAAGAGAGTACCTTTATATGACTTAGTCTACCAGTCTCCTGACTTCAAAAGAAATTGTGCAGAGCTTGCTACAAATTAGAAGTCACTATGAGCTCAAAGGAATGATCCTCATCTGATAAAATTATTGTTCTCCCATTAAAAAAAAATAATAATAATAAAAAAAATTAGGATTAGTTCCCTCAGCAAGGATTACAGAAAGAATAGATTAGGAATTTCTGATGTCCCTTTCTCAAAGTTTAAAGCGCAATAACATTTAGTTAAATTAACAAATGGATAGTCAAGATCCAAAAAAGAACTGGCTTCCTCTTCATTGCTACATGAAGATTTCCTGAATGTTTTATGAAGATCAAAAATTAGGAAGACTTAGTTTTTATATAGGTATATACGTTATGCAAAAGGGATGAGTTTGAAGAACTGTAAAGGTAAAAGGCTGAAACACCTCATCAACAGTGTTACAAGCACTTCATTTGAAGTTAAGCTATATGTTGGATTTAACACTTTTAGTATATAAATATAATATATAAAATACATTTTAGTATATCTTAAAATGTTAAATATTCATAATCTGAGGAGATGAATTCTGTGTTAGTGCTAGTTGGACAATGATGGTTTTATTTAATGACAGCTTTTAATGCTTGGATTTTTTTCCCCACCATGCATTAGGATGCAGAGTAAAAAGGCGAAGGAGTAAACCAACCTCTTGAATATTTCACAGAACACAGTTGGATGAAGACAGTACATCTCTATTTTTCTCTCTCTCCTCTTCCACTTTCTGTTTCTTTTTCCCCTATCCTCTTTCTCTCTAGCTATTTTGTTTCTCTGAAAACATTTCCAAAAGTAATAAAACTAAGTCAAAAAAGAATTTTTTTTTAGTTTTATTTCATTCAAATTATTCAATCAAGCTCAAGTCTATAGCAAATTTAGCAGCCTAGCCTAAAAAAAACTTCTAATATTATAACAAAAATCTAGAAGCAAATCTTAAATGTTTCCTAGAAATAAGCACATAATAAATTCAAACTAGTGTGAAAGACTATGTTTAGATGAGCTTAAATATGAATTTTTAAAACACCATTATATCAGAAATAGAAACTCTAGCCCAGAAGACTGCTTTGCCATGTCTCTTTCTCAGCATTTTAATCTTTTGTAGCATCCACATTTGACTGCTATCTCTGTGCTAGATGGTCTCAAGAGGCAATGAGATGGCACAGTTTCCAGTGACATTGGCTGTAATAAGAGGCAAGAACATTAAAATTCTGAAACAAATCTGAAAAAGGAATCTAAGTCAGGAAAAAAAACTAAAAATAATAAAAAGTAGCACTGCAATTAGTTGCAATATCACACATTAATCTGGTAAAAGGCTGTCCTTACTAATTACAGGAGCAGAAATGGAAAAAGAAAGGATCAACATGGGCTACAAAAGAACCTTACTACATGTTCCTCAGGAAGCAACAGATCCTCTGCATAGGCAGATTGCTGAAGAGCACAATGTGGTCTTTGTCAGTGTGAGGAACACAGGACTCTACCAATAAGTTGACTTACTTATGATTTTGGAGACAGAAGTGCTGCTCATGGTAAACCGATCTAAGTAGTATAAATATGTGATAAGCCTACTTCTTACAGGACCCCTTGAGACCAATGCAGCTGAGTACTGAGCACTGATTTCATTTTCTTTGCATTTCTTTTGGAAGACTGCTAGTTATTTCTGTGTATTTGAACAGCTTATCATCCCATTCAAAGTGGGCAAGATACATGTACTTCTCTACCTCAGGATGCTTTGCCTAAACTCATCAGAAGGGCAGTTATCAAAATGAAACTGGAATAAAATAAATATGTTCCACTTACTAGTAAGCTGTGAATTTAGTTAAGCTATCAGGAAAAAAAAATCAGATACGCTTTAATCACTTTCAAATGAGAGACCTGTTTCTGAGGAAGTGGTATATGCTGAAGGAATCTCATTAACATGCATATGGAGAATTATAAAAATCTGAATGTAAATCACAGAAACACAGAAACATAAAATATGTCCCCACTGAGATCAATAGAGACTCTTCCTTAGCAAATTATTTCTGCCAATGCTGTTTTTCTTAAGAGTTCTATGCAGCTTTGCACAAACTTGCATTCATGCACATGTGCATTCGCAATACATGTTTTTCCTCCACCCTTGGGACAAGATTATTCTATGGTTGAATAGATCTCCATCTTCAGACGTTCGTTCTGATTGAAAAAAATAATTTGCTCAGCTTCATTTCTTTGCCATCAGTTGTAGCTCTACACCACTTTTGTACCTCCCTTGAGTGCATACTTCAAAGACATACAGACATTTATCTTGTCATTCCCTTATCTCACCTTTGCTTCTCTATATTTTTGTCTTCATTTTTTCCATTTTTTTCCTCTTTGATCTAAACTATTTGTTCTTGTATGTATCTCTAGACAGACTCTCTCAGCATCTTTCAAGCAGTGACTTGATAAAAAAATAGGGCTGCATAAATCCATGCGTGTAAATACTTAGATGAAAAACGCACTACCAGATTGACTGACAGAGTTGGTAAATACAGACAGAAGTCCCATGACTTCCTTAGGCTGTGAAGTAGCATCGTTCTGTTAGGTATCCAGTATTCATTCACTCAACAACTTACAAGAATACTGGATTTTTATTTATTATTTTTTCCTAATATTGTTATCTTCATATGTGTGTTTTGTTTTTGTTATTTTCTCTTATTTCTGCTTTTGGTGATCCATTTGAATTTGTTTACAACTGCATTATTGTAGCTTCCTTATGTTTCTGAATGCTCTCAGTTTATCTGTGTAATTTGCTTGCATCACTGAGAGTTTCAGCTCCTTTGAGTTTAGGGCCAAATTCAAAATTTTATACTTTGTGCACAGAAATCAACACAACACATTCTTGATTCCATAATTCAAGGAATGACCTCTAGAGGAGTCTGCTAAGTTAATAAGTGCTAAGTTAATAACAATACAACTACTAAAACATCATCATCAACAACAAACAGACTCATGTAACAAACTTAGTAAAAATGAAAACCATTGAAACCAAGAGGAACAAAACAGTAAAAAGTAGGACTGATTCTTAGGTACTTAGTATTGCACTCTATATACTCCCAAGTACAGATACTTACAGCAATGCAATATGCATTTAAAAATCCTACCATTATGATTTAAAAACATGTAAGTGACAACACAGGTTTAGAGCAGTAGTCATAATTCAGCTAATGTACAGAATTTTAACCCTACCTTTCCAGTTGACTTTGTTCCTTTCCAAATGCAAAAATAGCAGATAGTCCAGGCAGCGAGGAGGCACAGGGCAAGTTCCCAACGAAGATTCCCAATATGTTCAATCCCATCAGATATAGCTAGCACTCTGCGTCTACCAAAGGGGGAAAAAAAGAAAGGATAATACTGGAGCAAAATAGTACTACATATAAAACACTGAGCTAAAAGCAAGTCTCCTTCAATGAAGGAGACTTCTGGTTACTGACTAGTGAGTATGCATCATGCTAAGAGAAAAGACACAGAAGAGAAAGTATTGGAATATTTTCAGTGGGTTTTACATCAGGTTAAAAATAAACAACTGATGGATTTTCCCAGGTCAGTGACAAAAATCAACAAGATTTAAAGATAGATTGGAAAAGCATGGAAAGCTTTTGTACAAAGTACAAGTCAGAGACAAAAATAAAAAAATAAAAATAAATGCTCTGAATCAACAACAGGTATACATAAGCCCAAAACAAAACACTTCAAGAGTAAATGTTTTTTCAGTTTTACTGTTTTTCCAGTAATAAATATTTGAGTTTTAACCTTTACTTTTACCTTGCAACATTTATTTTTATGAATTAAACTAACATCATAATCCACAACCAGTTCTCAACGTAATCCATTCCAGCAGCTGGTCACTTGAACCATTATGCTGTTCTTCTCTAATGGCTTAATAACATTTATTTATTAAGTTGTTGTTAACATCTATCTATCTCATGGCTACAATGTTTCACACACTAAAAAGCAACTATGCATTACAAACACAATTCTCAGCAAAGACTTGAGAAGTTTTAAAGCAACCGTTTTCTGGAAGCTGTCTACAGAAAGTAAATGCTGTTTTTTCTGAATTCTCTGTGAGAAGTCTCAAATAGCAGAGACACCTACCATACCCATCCAAAAACCTTGGCTGGATTCTTTTGAAAAGAGTGGCATAGAAAGTAAATGGCAAATTAATGACCTCTAAACAATTAGACCTGCTGCTCCCATTTAAGAAAGACACATGGTGCCAATCAACCTGAACTGTTAGCACTGTAATGAGTATTTAAATATACAAAAGTACTTTAAATCACTTTGTCTTTTCTCTGTTCATGCAGAACAAAGGTTTAATGTTTCTCTTAGAAAGAAAGCAGCAACAAGTCCAGACCATACAATTAAACTATAAGATATAATGCAGCCAAAGAATACACCCAATGAAGAGAAAAAGTCTTGCTCAGAGGGTAGCAGTGATTTCCTCAGCAGGCACAACACAGCTCTCCTTAGTGCCAGGGCCATAGCTGTCCTGCTGACACTGGCAGAAACAGCAGGAGCGGCAGATTTTGAAAGCAGGAGGCATTCAGAACTTGAAATTCTTCTCACAAAACTGAGTTCAGCCTGACTATGGACACCCTTATAATTGCCCTTATTCTTTTATTACTCAACATAAATTAATCAAAAAACAAATTAATAAAAAAAAAAAATTAAAAACACATGATTCTCCCCTGAATTCAAGAAGTGAGGCTGATATACTCAGTGGTCGAAGATGACAGAGTTGATCACAGCTTCTTTTTCCTCAGCAGCCCAGCTTCTATCTAAATACTGCTACAACCTTGAATAAATCACCCAAACAGTAGTAAACAAAATAGCACAGTTGTCTTCCTCATTTCTAAACATTACAAGAGCCCTGCACTACCTTATTCTCCTCAGATCTTAACGTAGATAAAGAACTGTAAAATGACATTAAAAGTGATACCCATGCAGTTTAGAAGTACAGGCATTAAAAAATAAGTAAATAAATAAGAAGTTCTATAGTAAGATGCCCAGGAACAGCCACATCTGTGAAGGCCTGCATCAGCGTTTCATCACTTGTGACAGTACATGATAAAGCAGAGCAGAAAGAAGGGGTAATTTATGTGCACAGTAAAAATTAACCAGATTGTGATGGGAAGAGGTTGCAAGTACCTCACGGTCATTATAAGTGAAACTAGTTTTATTAGAGGGCCTCAGCGTCACCCTAAGAAAACCCTTAAATAAACTATGTGGTCTTGTAAAAGGAGATAGTGGGATCCCCAGACAAATGGCAAACTCCTAGGAATTTTATATTCTGAATTATCAAGTAATATTAAAAGTCAAAATGAAAAATTACTAATTTTAATGAGCCAAAAGTGCCCCACTTGGGTACCTATACAAGCTTGACAGTTACAGGGAAGCCATGGGAGATAACTAAGCTGAATTACATAACTAAATTATTGAGAATCAGAAACCTGAATTAAGGGATGACTTCGACATTTCTTTACGATAAAACTTTTTAGTTGTCGAATTTGGCATATACTCCAGGAGATATTAGGATCTCATTGGCCATGTCATTTAGCAGAGGTGCATGCCAGACATACTGTAAAAAAGCATGTATACAAATATATATATGTATAACATATATACAATATATTATAAAACTTACTATTAAAAAAAAAAAAAACATATCCAGTAAATGCCTATGTAATTTTGCTTTTCAAATTCTGCATGCTTTCCAGTAGAAAACACGCATGTCTGTCCTTAACATCACTTCAATAAGTGCTGTTAAATTCAAAAACCTGAACTCTTCAGATAGAGTCTGAAGACTTATTTTCACTTGAAGAAAAAAAAAAAAAAGCCCAAGAACCCAGAGAACCACTGTAGCTGCAAGGTACAAACAATGATGTAGCTGGGGGTAACCATTTGAATTACTACAGAATTTAAGATCACTGCTTATTATACACCATTTTAACCATAGTAACTTTGAGCATACTGTGCGAGTTTACTGCCAACAACTTAAGACTGGGTGAAATTTTGCTGTAAAAATTATTTGGCTTGCACAGAGATCTGAAGATACAAATCATCAAGTATTGTTGTATGTCAAAAATACGTTAAAACAGAAAACGATTAGAGTTTGAGAAGACTTCTTGTGGGTCTTGAGTTTGTTTTTGTTTTTCTGTTTCTTATACACAGCAGTTCAATTTAACGAACTGCCAGTAGCCTGGGAAAGAAGCCAGGAGACTGTTGGCATTTCAACATCTTGAACACAACGTTGAGGAAATAAACTTCATCTGCATTAGGGTTAACTTGGAACTTGAAGGTGAAATCAAACCAGAGTAAGAGTTTTAAATCAGCGGTAGCAAAACAAAAACTACACAGGATATAGTGTCTGTAAATGGAAAATTAAGGTCTCTCTCTCTTTTTTTTTTTTAATTTAAATCACAGTGGATTCATAACGTGTATCACACTCAAAGACACGTTACATGTTTGAAGGCTTCACTATGTCTTTCTGCACATAGATAACTTGAGTAACTATTATTGAAGGAAGAGTTTTACTTTCCTTTCCACACATAACACAAAGAAAAAGAAATGACAGACATTGATAGACTTAAATAAATAAAAGATAAATGTAATTGCACGTAAATATATATTTATTACTATAATTATTATAATTTATAAATTATTATTATATATTGTATTAATATTATATTATTATTAAACATATATAATATAAATGTAAATAATATGACTTAACTGAAGTTGAGAATACTTTGTATTTCTTGTTACATGCCAGAAAAGCTGATGCTTGGTCACAATGGCATTTAAAACTGACAATCAAATCTTGGCTACATGGCTAATTATGACTACAGAGTGGTTTCATTGTGGTTACAGCTTATAGTACCAAATACTATAATCCAAACACATACAGTTCATGTTGAATCAAAATAGAATTGTGGATAAAACAAGGACAGAACGGGGAAGAAAGAACAAAGCCACAGAAAAATTTCAGCATACTTTCAGTAGACATAAAACAACGTCCTCAGTAAGTAACGAGACAGTATTCTATGACCTTTTGCTACCTAAATTCCAGAAACCTACTGTTGCTAATGGTAACCTCTCTTCTTTTCAGTTGACATCATTGTACATATATGTACTAGCAAAATTTGGAAAAATAAAGATCAGTAAGTATTACGTACTTATTGAAAGTGCTTTTGCTTGTGAATTTACTAAAACAGTTTTTGATTTACCAACTCAGTAATCCTAAAGAAAGAAGGAACCTTCTTTTGCTAGAATTGCTGCAGACAGGCATATTATGAGGTAACTGTTACTTCTGACTACTCATAGTAGAAAAATAACCTTTGCATCTACAATTGAAAAGTAAGAGTTTGAAAGCTTTAGCTTCTACAAGTGCACTCTTTTGGGACACAGCAACAACAGCACTACACTTCCAATGGGCTGGGAGAGCACTTTTCCTGGGAAAGGGCATCTTTAATAAAGTGTTCCAATGTGCAGGGCTGCAGCAAACTCTTGAAAATAAAAAGGATTAACTGCTACCATGCATAGTTGAAAGGAATGTACCAAGGTAATCATTGCATTATTTCATGATTTGGAAAGCTGAAGAACAGATTCAATGTATTTGAAGAAAGCTCCTTCATGTTCCCTCCCCAATTTGAAGCAGCGTCCAAGACATTTTTCTTTTACAAAATAAATAAATAAGTCAGAGAAAGCAGCCTCCCAAGGTCACTTCTCCTTCTGTATCTGTTCAGTCAGGAGCAGGCAATGCTATCTACATACTCTGCACCAGACTCTGTCCTCAGCACATTTTGTGGAAAATGAAAGAAAAAAGAAGCCACTAAGCAGCAGTGGTACTGCTGCTGAGTAGCCTTTCTGGCTGCTGGTATGCTCCATGTTTTGGTATGTTTCTTTCATACCTGCAGATTTTTCAGACCCAGTTTGTATTTACCTTGTGAACCTTTTCACTGAGCTCTTTGTGAAGTGAAAAAAAAAAAAAGAAAAAAGAAAAAAGCTAACGATTTTGAGCAGCAGTAGCACACAGCTTTTTCCACCAGTTCAGAAGTATCATTATCTCTCAGACATCCTCTATTCCTATGCTAAAGTCCTCCATCCAAAGATGTTTTCTAAAATCTCATATTTCTTTGTCTCTCATTGCACTGTCTACAGTTAATATTCTTTAACTTCTGTGAAAATTTATTGTTTTGAGTATTTCATACCCAAATGCATTTGAGTATTGTGTGCAAGTATACAGTTGCTGACACACAGACTTGAGCAGATACTAACTTGATTCTGAAACTGGTGGCATTCAAATTCCATGTACCAGGATCC